ACATCAGAGTCCAGTTCCAAACAAGTCACTGGATTATTTACAAACTAATTCACATCTATACAGGCCCTCCACTCTGCTCAGGGGCCAAAAATGGCCCCCAGGGGCCTCCGCTTTGGACACAGAGAGGCTGAGCCTTTTCTCTGATTCAGAGCATGGGTAGGTGGAGCCGGCCGTCACACGGTGCAGTGAGCTCTGAGGATCTGCCGCGCCATCTCCAGGTTCCCGCTGTTCTGGTAGATCAGCGACAGGTTGAAAGCAATCTCCCTCCTCAGATCCACCTGATCGTCCGCAATGCCCTGGATAAAAACAGAAAGAAAATCAGCGGAGAGGAAGAAGCCTGAAGTCGGTCTCTGAGCAGTTGGCCTACATCCAGCTTCCACGCAGGCAGGGAAAGCGCCTTCTGGTAGTAATGGATGGCCAGGTGGGCCAGGCCCATCTGGTGCAGGGCCCGGCCCAGGTTGAACATGCTCTCCTGACACTCCCCGCGCAGCTCCACGTAGCGCCACAGGAAGGAGAAGCCCTGCAGGATGAGAGCGTGGCGCCGGGCCACGTACTTCTGGGACGCCATGTGGAAGAAGGTGAGGCCCACGTAGAGGCTGTGCAGCGGGTTTTCAGGCTGGTTCTTCAGGGCCTGGACATACTGGCCTGAAACACATCAAACCAACAGCCTTCAGAGGACGGCTTCTGCAGCTACCAGGTAAACACCGCTGGTCACCGCGGTAACATGGCGGCTCCTAGGGGCCACGCTGAGCTCCCTATGCTAAAGGAAGCATCCAGCTTCCTGTTCCTTTCATCATGGCCGCCGCTACAGTCCTCACCCTCTGATGGATTCAGACCTTCCATCACTGCAGCTAATCTGGCTGACCTTTGACTTCTGATTGAGAAATGATCCAAGATTTAGAGACTGACGTTCAACCGTCTGGTTCCACGGCGTGGTTCCAGCGTCTGGTTCCACGGCGTGGTTCCAGCGTCTGGTTCCACGGCGTGGTTCCAGTGTCTGGTTCCACGGCGTGGTTTCAGCGTCTGGTTCCAGCGTCTGGTTCCACTGTCTGGTTCCAGTGTTTTTGTTCCACTGTGTGGTTCCTGGGTGTGGTTCTGGTGTCTAGTTCTAGTGTGTTGTTCCAGTGTGCGGTTCTGCTGCGTGTTACCTAGCGCGTGCTTGAAGCTCCCACAAACGGCGGCGTTGTGTCCACACAGAACGCACAGAGCCGGGTTGTCCGGGTGCTTGAGCAGCAGCCGCAGACAGTAGCGATGGTGGCGCTGGTGCTCGGAGGACAACGTCAGCTGGAGAGAGTTAAAAAGACGGCCGGGTCAGAACCACGGGGCGACCCGCTGCAGGACACACAGCTCAGTAGAGATACCTGGTGGAAAATGTTCCAGAACTGAGGAAAATGAAGGTTTTCTACCAGCATCAACCTGTTGGAGAAAAAATAAACAGAGAGCTATAAAAACCATAAAGGTCAAAGGTCACCAGCAGACTCTGCTTTGACCCCCCCATCCTGACCTCATGTAGTTGTACGCCTTGAAGAAGTCCTGGTTGAGGATGGTGGCGGAGAGGCCAAAGAACTCCAGCTCCTTCCTCCTGGGCTTGCTGTCGTAGAAGGAGTAGAACTCCATGGCCGACTCCACCAGGAGGTCCGTCTCCCCGTAGCGCCGCAGCTCGCACAGCCCCAGCAGGCAGCTGAGCAGCAGCTGCCACCAGTCCTCCTTGGAGAGAAAGTTGGTTTTACCTGCAAACACACAGAGGAACGTTCTGGA